GATACGACGATGACAAAATTATGGAAAAGTTGCGCAATTAAAGAGTCGGGCGTCGAGCACGGGTGCACCCACCCTGTTGAAAGCCAACTTTTTTTGTGTGTAATGTGTCTAATCAAAAATGCTACTGCCATATAAAAAAATAAAGTTAATGATGATTTCTCCGACACGAAACGTTGTATTGAAAATCCCTCAAAGCTCGAGAAGTGGAAAAAGGAAGTGTTTTTTGTTTTTTTTGTATCGGTTCAATAATCATCAGGCAAAAATAAAAACGAAATCGACAAACTTCAGTTTTTCTGACACACCTTCGGAAATAATAAACATTTTCTGGCTTTCTTTAAAGCATGATAATAACTCTCAGCTAGCTCAAGCAAATCAAAATTGAAACTTTTTTATTTTTACTTTCTCTCCTCGTACACTTCCGGCATCTACTATAAACTATAAATACCTGACACAATTCTTGAATACGAGAAGGAAAATCTGACATGAAAACTCTATCCGGATCGTACAAAGGATTCGAATAAACACAAAATTAATTGATTGACAATGACAAACATTTATTCCAAAACACATGAAATGAAAAATTAAAACAAAATTTCTGAAAGAACGAAACGCTTACAAAGCTTGTTTGGACGTATTACCCCACAATCAGGAGGCCGATAGTTAAAAATATTAAAAATCTTAAATTACTTAGTTTTCTCTCTTTTAATAATCTTACTAATCTGGTCGTACAAATAAATTGCAAGTAAAATAAATCCCTAATTATCACAATATTTAAAAAAAAGTACCTTCAGCCTAACTTAGAACTCAAAAAAACCTCACCTGTAAAGCACAAAAATGTGAACTTCTAAAGTGCCTCAAAAATCATAGTACATTTTTAACGAAAAAAGTTTAACAATTATTTAAAAATAACTTCTCCGTTATGCGTTTCATTAACAAAGCAAACAGAGTCGTCCCCTTGGTCGATAAATTCCTCACTCCCGCAAATTCCGCGGGATCCCGCTCGATTTATGTGCGGGATCGGTATTTCGGGATCCCGCGATCCCGGTATTGCATTCCCTAGCCAAGATACAGACTTTATTTACAAAAAATATGATTTCATTTTTTGGGGTAATGTTTAGAGGTAACTTATGTAGTAAACAGTCGGTTTACTTTATCCATAAATCGTCTTGATCGAGAGTAAAAAAATAAAACAGAATACCGCAATAATCGGTGCAAAACATAAACAGCATAAACAATCGGTATTCAGTGGCTATAAACTTAAAAAAAATAGTCCGAACATTTTGTAGATAAAGCTCTAAATTTATAAAATATGTAGTTCTTAAAAAATAGTATATTAAGTACTTATGGAGAACGGTAAGGGATTTTTACCGTTCGAAGACAATTGTTTGGATGAGGAGCGAAGCGACGACTCCAATTATTGTCTGAGAACGGTAACCCTTAACGTTCGACGTGCTTATAACATTTTTTGCGCGATCGAAATTAAAATTATGCAACCAATATAAATATGCACTAAGAAATTAACGAGCAGAATAAATCGAAATGATCGAAGTGGTATGGTGTACATCACTAGGCAACCAGTTTAAATGTCAAAATTGAAATTAATAATTTCATAAAAATGTGCATGTGTCTGATGTAGTTTACTAGCTTTGCACTTCCTTTATGACTTTATGAGCGTCTTGCTATAGGAAACAACAGCACAAATTGTACGTTTAATGTACCTAACAATAATTAAAGATTAAATGTAATGTAAGACTGTTGATTTTTAAAAAGGCGTCGGTAAGTATTTTTGCTGTTCTGTTTTTAGATCGGTAAGTAATTTTGACGTCGTCGTAATCATAGCAACTGGTAAATTCTACGTACTGTCATGGAAACACCCATGGTAAATAGTCAGAAATGACCGATCGCGCAAAAAATTATTTTAAACAAATTGAGTTTTTAGGGCGGGCGCTCTCATGGAAATTTACATTGGGTGCAATGGGTACAGAAGACTCTTAAGTGTGAACGAGTTCATTATGTTCGTATACAGGATGTCCCTTCATATTTTTTGGTGTTTAGACCGAAATAACGTCTCCATGACGTTGCTATTTTCAAAATATATGTGAGAAACGAAATTACCTACTGTTTTAATATTGCAAAAATTTTCACTGATCAAAGAGTAATTTTTTGAAGACCTCACAAGTGAATTACAATTCAATGGGTGCAAAAATGAACCAGAAGATGGAATTAATATCGAAAATGAAAACGAATCCGAAGAGATTTAATTACTTAATTTACTTCCTAGTATGCTCTCGCGTTTTTTTTACACAAGCACAATTGCCTGTCTTTCTTTCTTTAATCCGCTCACAACCCTTAATCCGCTAAAAAAAGTTTAACAAAATCCTAGTGTTTTTTATTCGTTAGGAGGAGGAAAAGTGATTACAGTAGGTACTGCGCGACAGTGAAAAGTTACCTATGGTAGTTCCAAAGCGTGTCCTATTTGTTCTGTGTAATGGTTTCTTATTATATATCACTGTCAGAGTTAAAGCTTTACGAAAAGGGCCAAAATTCCGATTTTATAATAAATGTGCTCTAATTTACTACAAAAACCACCACTCTGCCTTATTTGGTTGCTGTTGAAAGTAATAGTATTGGCAGCTTACTCACGTGCGTATAAAAAATAACAAATTTCAACTTCGAGGGTTATACCACAATACCACAAGTGTTGGAAACTGTTACAAAGTGAGAATTTAATTATTACATTGATGGAGGTGTCAATTTTTTTACATGGAATAAGTTTCCCTCTGAGTTTGGAGTTTAACACCGCTATCGATTGTTGTATCTGTGTGAATATCAGATGGACAAGGGGAATGAATGGCGTTACCTCCTCATAAGTCGAATAATCCAGGTTTCCAAAGTCGAAGTCAGGATTATCGGAAAATACCTTAAGCAAAAGATGCTGTATACTCTTCTATTGTGGATAAGAAACGCAGCTTGCAAGTGGAGGGACTGGTACGTAAAAGAATCAACAGCGGTTTCGAGGGAACTGACCACTAACTCAATCAGACTAAACTACCCACCAAACAATGACTCTACCACCTTCAAATTCACTCAAACTCTAACTCGTACCTACAGCGCTTTTGCGAACGAACCTGTTGATCGTTTGGGCAACTTCAAGCATACATTTTAGGAAGAAATACGTTGCTTATAAATTCTAGCAGTGACATTGCGATTAACCAAACTCCAGTGGTCAATAATTTTCTCTGTTGAAAACAGAAATTCTGACTACTTGGAATAAAAACCTCGGTTGCAAACTAATAAAGCAGATTGGTAATACCTACTAATGAAGTGGAAATAGCTGCATGCGGCAATTTATACGTTCATTGTACAAGAATTGCAAGAATTCTTGACACTTCATAAAAAATGGAAGGCGATAAACGTAATAACCTGTCCCCGGCATTAAAATTTATGAACGAATTGGAGCTGCTTATAATCCACTTTGATTTTAAAAATTCTCGAACTCCGTTCCAATGTATTTATTACAACGACAGGCTAAATTACCTACCTACCCTGGTTGAATGCAGATTGCGTTTTCCACGCGCTAGGAAATTAAAATGTTCATTCCGATAACTGCTTGTAAATAAGTTACAAGATAAAATTTGTGGTTTCCGTTATAAAGTCATCGCCGTCGTCGTGATTCACCGAATACAATTTGATTGCTCTTTTTTTGGATCCGATTCTCTCAATAGTGGCATAAATGAAAGCGACATAAAGGAATTCGGAGACCGTACGTCTGCAACTAATTGAAATTAGTGATGCCTTCTGTGGAACTTAATAATTTCGGTGGGTGTTGAATTGCTTTGAGGTTTTAGACTCCTCAGTTTCTCACTGTTATGTAAGTTATACATGAAATTGTTGTATAAGCGTACTCAAAGCGGCGTCAATGGTTTCACATGCGAATTGAATTATTATGGCACACGTGGGGAGGAGCGCGGGTGATTTTTTCACCTCTTAATTTGAAATTTACAAGAATGAAAGTTTGATTAAAGCGCTTCGCTAAAAGCTGTATTGTATTAACTTTCGACTGAACTTTTCAACGAGTTGTCTCATTTTCCTGGGCGCTTGAGCTTGATATTAAAATCATACTTTAATTTTGTGGGAGATAAATCTCCAAACTTTTTTTTATTAAATGATTTAGGTAGGTAAGTACGAAATAATTAATTTCTGTTTTTATGACGCACGTTTTCGTCAAAGGAAAAAGGCATCCGTAACAGAAATTCATTAAAAAAGTTATGGCTCATTTACAAACACAACTTTACGGCCAAGGCAACCACAAAAGAGCATTAAGACACCTAGCAACCCATAACTTCATTTAAATGAAATTAATAGTGCCTCCAAGATTGTAAATGGATGAAGTTGTGGAGAATAATTACATTGGAAACTCGGCGTACTAAACGGGTACGTGGGAAACATTTATAAAAGACATTGCGACACCTAACACTTAGCGTGCAAATTTTACCTGATGCAGCAACATTAAAATCAGTTTACAGTACAAAACGCGCACGTATAAACAAACATGGATGAAGTAGCAACAGATGATCGAGGAGAAGCCACAATGTCACAAATTCCACACTATCAGCTTTTTGCGTAACACAGAAGAATCTAAAAAGGTCAAAAATGCCTATTTAACAATGTTCAAATGCTAACCCCAGAAATTCATCAGTTCTGAAGCACCAGTGGATCACGGGCGTGCATGTGCTACGGGCGTCACAGAGCCACTGAACCAGCGTCGCGGCGTCAGACCCACCCCCGATCGATTACCAACTGTGTTATCACAAATATTACTGAAATACCGGCGCGCACGTTAAATTTCTGCATTATTCGACTAATGAATTTTATACTATGGTTGTTTAGACATTCGGGAAGTGGCACAAGTTCCTTATCGGTCCGCGGTTAACTTACTTACCGCCACCAAATTCACGCGAAACGTGACGAATTAATCGCGAAAGTACAAATAGACTCACCTGTTTGCGTACTTGAATCAAAGAAGGTGCTCGTCGTTTCCACGGTCATAGATGCAATAGTACCATCCATAATTTGAGTGCAGGAGTCGCGCCTTCCACGATACCTAGAGGTGTCATCGCTTTGAGAGCTTTGTCGTCGGAAGTTCCGGCATCTAATCATTTCCTCGGTCGTCGATTGTCGCCTGAAACCTCTGGCAATTAAGATCTCCTCTGTTGTCGATTGTCTTCGTATTGTAGGACGATAGGGTTCGGGTGGCGGTGGAATCGGTCGATTCGAAGGGCTTGGGTCGCGAGAGGAGCAGCTTGAAGAGTCGGGGGAACGATGGCTCCTACGTCTTCCGGCGACGCTGGTGGATTGCCTTCTTAAGCGGCCGCGTCTGTGCCGTCTGACAGGGCTAATGTCGCGCTCGCCCGAGCGATCCGGGCTTAGATGCGAGCGGGAATCTCTACGGCCGCGCGATGCCGAGTCGGGACTCAAGCTGTCGCGTCTCGCCTTCCGGCCGGTATCATCAACGTCCGGGCTCAACGCACCCGGCTGTGAGCCTCTTCTACTATTTCCACCCGGTAAACACGTCTCGTCGTACGTCGTATTTTGACGCTGTAAACGCGACAACTTGTTCGTGGATCTTTCGGGACTCGCATGACTGCGAGAGTCTCGCCGCCCCAATCTGCCGCATTGGGTGGTAGAATCCCGGCGAGTCGATAGAAGGGGATGAGTTGGGGTGGTTGCTTGCACAGTAGGCGAAGTTGCAGGTGGCGTAACGCTCGAAGTAATTATAGTGGGAGGTTGCATACATTGGAAGTCGGTACCGATGGAAATGGTGTGAGATGTTACAGTACTAATCGGAAGATTAATGTGACTGGCAGTTGTTTGAACACCAGCGGGAGCTGAATCGGAAGCCGTTGATGAGGTAGATGGTCTCTGCTCTTGACGATAGTAGGAAGGCGTCTCATTCACTGTGCGAGAATCTCTCCTTTTTTTATGAGTAGCCCCTATCACCTTTGGAGGAGGTGGTGTGGCAATAGTGGTTGAATCTCGACGGCCACTACGCCCACTTTCTCCAGATCCTCTACGGGAAGTGCCGTGGGAATGAGTCACCGAGTCCCTCCTACCGCTACGACTAGATTCTCCAGATCCTCGGCGAGATCCAGAGCTCGGCGTGATAACAGTGGCGACCGTGTTAGATTCGCGCCTCTGCCACAACTTTGCCACTTCAGAACGAAAATCGGAAATGGCGGTTTGATGCGAGTCTCTACGGGACTTTGATCCAATACTCTTTATTCCAGAATCCGCGCTAGATTCTCGCCTTTTTCTGGTAGATATACTTGGTGTTGGTCCGGTTTCTGTGGTGGTTTGTCGGCCCCACGGTAAACTCCTCGCCAAATCCGCGAGTGTCTCTCGTCTGTTTAAAGGAGCCTTCTGCCGCGATTTCGTAGATCCGCCGCCCCATTCTCTCAAAATGTCCGTCAGTTGCGCTAGCGAGCTCCGACGACGACGCGTCGTACCAGTCGTGGGCGGCGAGGTCTCCTGTGTTTCCGTCGGTGGCGATATGCTGCATATTTGGGTCGCCGAATCTCTTCGGCCTCCCAGTCGCTGACGGATCGTGGACTCTTCCAGTTGTTCTCGCACCAGATCGTCCCACCCATTTCCTCCTTGCCATACCAGGCCCACTTGATGGGACAAGATCGGCAGATTGCAAACGAAGCAAATGGCTGTCATTGTCCTGAAACGAAACAGACAGTTTAGTAATAGCTCTGGCGAGTGGAGTTGATTAACTAGTGCTTATAGCTGCTCTTGTGCATTAGGTAACCTACGCATGCTACAACTGAAATTGGGTCCTCTATGGGATATCTGTGCAGATGAACAGAGTAAGTGAAGCGCTCTGTGTTACGCAAACAGATGTAACCAAAGAGTAACCTGTAAAGAGCGATGAGTGAATCTGCAAAACGTGCTTGTATGGGGTGCGAATGCGGACCTGTAGTGGCGCAAGCGCGGCGAGGGTAGCTGCGCCATGGTTCATTCTGACGGCGCGGTATGATCCTTCGTCCAAGTCGTCTCGACGTCGTTCTGGTCTGCTTAAGAGAATACCACATCAAACATTTTAGGATTTTCTATGTCTACTAGGTACAGGAGGACTCCACTTAACTAAAACACCAACAGTTACACTTCGTTACAGATCCTGAACCTTAAGGTTTATTAAACTTACAAATGAACTTTACTGCTTTCAAGAAGATTCATAAATTACGAAATTACGTTACAATTCCTATTTACTACTCGCGATTCTTCAAACAATGGCGAAAGTTGCATTTGAATAAAATTGATACTGGGCTGGATGATCTACTCGGCTTCTACATCTCCATACAAATTTCCTCATTTCCCAATATGAATTTTTGTAAAGGGTTCCTGTCAGATGGCTATCGGAGTATTCATGCTAACGGATGTCGGTTTCAATTTCGTCTAATTGTCGTAGTAATGCCACGGCCCTCCCGAGTTTTTCTAACGTTCGATAGAAGGGATGATGATGCGTACACGTAATTACTGAACCTTCTGGAACAGTATGAAAACAGCAAAAACTATATTTAAAACGCACTTTAGTGCATGAGTGGTTCCATTATTTCACACCGTAAGTGAACAATTTACTTGCTGCTTACATTGGTGGCTCTATACCTATTTTCCTTTACAACTGGCTTTGAATGATTGAATTCAAGATCTCGTGACCTTAAATTATTGTATGACTTTCAAATAATATTTCTTCGGAATGTACGGATTTTAATTGAGGCCGTTGACCTAGCCGTTGACTCTTTCAAGTTCATAAGGGTTTTAAGTCAATGTTCTTATTGTGTCGGAAAACAAGTTGTGCCCTGAGGGAGAATTTAAAAAGTCAAAAGAGAACGCTGATTATATGAGATACTGAAAACTGTTTGTGTGTATCAATAGAGGAAAATGAAAACTATACTACCATGAACCATAATCACTGATAAAAGAAGTCCAGAAATTAATATATTGTGCGGCAATGAGGTAATAGAAACAGCCGACCATGGGGATCTCGGGAACTGTAAGAGATAGGTAGGTAGTTTAAATTTGGTAAAGTTGCGTATTTGGATCCTTAACAAAATGCCGTTTTGAAAATGAAAAAATTCCGACTACTTTCGGAGATATCCGTAAAAAAAAGAAATGTTGCAAAATCGTTTTTATTTTTCACTGAAGTTATTTAAACAATTTTTTCAAAACAAGTAACGCATTATCATGACCACATTTTTCTCTCTATAAGATGCTATTCATGAATTTTAAATCCGACGTTTCGTCTCCGGTTAACCATCATCAACTTTGTTTTTTCTTATGGAAGTAATTTTTATTTTTTGTCATTTGATAGAGAATTTTTTTCTGATTTCAAAAATGTAAGCATCACAATTTTTTAATATTGTTAAAATATCTGCTTTTTTGCCTAGAAAACTTTGTCTTGGGTAGTGTACGTAGTTTCTTGGGTTTTTACGAATTAATAGCGCTATTTCTTATTAAAAGATAGTGATGTTCATATTTTGAAATCAGAAAAAAATTCTCTATCCAATGACAACAAGTAAAAATGATTTCCTTAGGGAAAAACAAAGTTGATGATGGTTGACTGAAGACGAAACGTCCAATTTAAAATTTAAAGTAGTATCTTGTAGAGCGAAAAAAGTGGGCATAATAATGTGTCGTTTATTTCAAAATATCTTTTTAAATCATTTCAGTGAAAAATAAAAACCATTTTGCAAATATTTTTCCGTATATCTCCGAAAGTAGTTGGAATTTTTTCAGTTTCTAAACTGTATTTTGTTAAGCATCAAAGTATGCAACTACCTACCTATCTCTTACAGTTTCCGAGATGCCCATGGTGGTCCTCGAATTTGAATCAGCCTGATACTAATCTTCGGAAAAACAGAAATTTGCTGATTGTTTCTCATACCTATTTTGTGACTTTATTTGAAGAGAAATAAATTACACTTTCTCTTTGCGACTTTTTCTCACTACAAGCTGATATGTTTTTAAGGCCTCCGTTTCGGTTTTTTGATGCCATCGTCAACAAGTGGGTAACACACTACCGTTTAAAACTGACTTCAAACCAGTGCCACCTTCTTTGAAACACTTCAATACATGAATGAAGATTAAACTATGAGTTTAGTGAGGCGAATGTAATGAATGAATTAATCCTTTCAGAATTTACTAGTAGCTTGCGTAATTACCAAACTTAAGTCAACTTCCACTTCCAAATAATTGACAGCCGAACGAATAGTTTCGCGCTGCTTAATTTTCATTAATAATAATACACAAATCCGTACCTTCTAACTTTAATTTATTAAGCCCGTCCCTGACAAACGCCCCCATCTGTTGCATTTATATAGGATTAAAGCTACTTGTAAATATTATATCTCTAATTCAATTAATTAATTTTATTGAACAGAATTTGCCTTGTAGTGAAGAATTCCTATAGTGGGTTCGCACTGAATATAATTAACAAATGATTCCAAACTGCAGTTGCGTGTGCTCAAAGTGCATGTAACAGGATAGTGAGCCCTATGCAATTTCGCATGTATGATTCAGCAGCGATTTTCTATCCCAGAGTGTTTGGTGCCCTAAAAATCCACAAATTCAAAGCTATGTGTATCACGTAAATATTGTAAACGAAGGTTTCTTTGAGTGTACTGTATAAATCCGAGGATTTATTACGCATTTCGTCAATTTTGGAAGTTGCAACACATCGTAGTATGGAACGCCGTTTTAGTATTTATACCAACATTTTATCATGTATCATTTTAAATATCAGTCAATCTTATGTCTCTAAATTTTTCGTTTGTTGTTTTTATCTTACGTATTAAGAGATTGATTAAAAAAATGTTGATTAATAAAGATGATACATGAATTAAAATGTTTGTTGATAATTTTAATTAGGCGCTAGTATACACGTAGTCAAATAGACTAAACTGTAGTTCCTGAAACTTCCGCACAATCAGAGATACGAATTAAAATTATCAACAATCATTTTAATTAATGTAACATTTTAATTCAACAATCACTTTAAATAATTCTTGCCGATTTTAACAGCATGAATTCATATGATTGTTGAATTAAAATGTTCTCTGAAAATATTTGTACAATTTTATTCCAAAATTTTACAATGTGCCATTTTAAATAACAGTCAATCGTATGCCTCTACTTTTTACGTTTGTTGTTATTGTCTTACGTATTAAATATGATTGTTTAAAAAATGTTACTTATTAAAAATGTGAAATGAATTATTAACAATTAACAATTAATAACAAACAATTAAATTGAATTGCAAGAAATACTTCGATTAATAAAACGATTTTGTCCAACAAACATAAAAATTCATTCATTTTAAATGTGGAATTAAAATTATCAACAAACATTTTAATTCATCAGTCATATAAATTCGACGATTTGAAAATTGAAGCCGAATATTTTCAACAATCACTTTAATTCAACAAACAAATAAATTTTTATTGTTAGACGTAGTAAAAGAATCTTTTAAAATGATTGTTGAATTAAAATGTTACATGAATTAAAATGTTTGTTGATAATTTTAATTAGGCGCTAGTATACACGTAGCCAAATACACTAAACTGTAGTTCCTGAAACTTCCGCACAATCACAGATACGAATTAAAATTATCAACAACATTTTAATTCATGTAACATTTTAATTCAACAATCATTTTAAATAATGCTTTCCGATTTTAACAGCACGAATTAATATGATTGTTGAATTAAAATGTTTGTTCCTCGGTTTGTTCATAATTTTAATCCCACATTTAATATGAATAAATTTTTATGTTTGTTGAATTAGTTCTAGTTAGTTATATTACTGTTCGTTTATGTATTCGTTTGTTGATTTGTATTGTTAAACTTTCGTTATACACATTGCTATATAATTCATACATCATTTCAATTAAGTGAAGTTTTTTAAACAAACATATTTAATGTTTCACATAAAAACAACAAACATAATAAATCGGGAAATAAAATTAACTGTTGTTTATAATGTTACATTGTAAACTTTCGTAATAAAAAGTAAAACGGCGTTCCATATCGTAGGCGGCAAACTTGTTGAGGGCCCAGAACAAAAGAGGGATAATAAATAAATAAAAGTATCTATAAAAGCCCAAAAATTTCCAAGAAAAAGAAAACCGTCAAGAAACTACAATAAAACTAAAAATGTATCTGATCTGATTTTGACACTTAGTAACCCGAAGGCCCAATCTTCAAATGAGTATAACTTTTGATTGAAAAGTTATTTAAAAAAAATGGTCCACAATTTTGTTCCTTAACTCATCAAATATGTACACAACAAATTTCGTGGAATTCTCTCCATTTTCGTTGTCCGCTCAAGAATTGCAGTGGAACTTTTTTTTCAAATTTTTAAAAACTAATTTCAGATTCGCCATTTTCATGTTCAAAAACCCCCCAGATACCAAATTTCGTCGAAATCAGAATTTTTTTCAGGGTAGAAACTTTGACAAAATTTTGTCAAAATCAGATAGGGAATACCCGAAAACCTATTCAAAGATGTGTCACGCATCTTTGTAACTCTTATGGTTGCTGAGAATAAAATTAAAGAAGAAATCCAAATTTCACCACTTCTTTGGGGGTAGCTCCCAAACGAAACACGTTGGACCATCGGTTTATTTGGAAAAAGTGTTTTTTTTTTGCATGCGGTCATGTAACACCCTGTATAATACGCATAAATGTCCGGCGGAACTTGCGCTTTAAAAACGTCTTGTAGGGATATTATACGTTTATTTTGTTTCTCATTGGTATACGATTTATATGCGTATATGAAAGTGGTGTTATATACCTACATTTATCAAACGAATGCTAAAAAACGGTTATTTATGTACGTATTATCGACGCAGAACGTGAACTCTATAATTTATATATATGAACAGAAATTGTATTTTAAACGTGTGTATAAAATTTGTCTACACAAAAACGTATACCATACTCCTAATACTGAATGTACCCTATCAAAGCGCTTTAAAAACGTTTTTTAAACGTGTGTTTGCTGGGCAATTAAAGATATAATTATATTGACAATTGTATTGACTGAACCTTCACCTTG